TATATATGAGATTATGAGACATTGACTATGCATGTTTATATCCAGTAGTTTCCATGGTACCTAATCTCGAGAGTGGACTAGATTAGATGCATGCACGAGTTATCGGCCCGATGGCCGGGAGTTAATAATAGTTCAGATAGTTGCATATATGTTTATATGTCTTGAAAGGGATAAAGAGATAAAGAGATAAAGAGATAAGACTAGTAAGTTTAGTAGCATCCCGTAAGTTAGATAAAGTGTTTCCGAAATATTAAGCAAGAGTTTTTGAAAATTAAATAAGTGTTCTCAAATTATTAAAGGCAAAAATTTTAATCTGATTTAGTAATAGTAGGCGGAGTGTTGCATATATAATTATTACTTCTTTTACATGGGAGTAATCAACATATAAATTAAAAAATAAATTATAATTATTCAAGCTTAGAAAATAAACATTATCTCGTCAGTATGCAATAATTACGTTACAACCAAATTGAGAAAACATTACATAGGTGTGAGGTGATGGATTTTTAAACACATTAGAGAGAAAAAATTGACAATCATAATGTCCACGTTCATACTACAAAATTAGGCAAAAATATTTTGGTTGGTTGGTTGCTAGATAAGATTAAAAGATAAAAAAAATAAATAAAATGTGATGTAATGGTTTTTTCAGGCAAACCAATTTATTTAATGTTGGCTAGTTTTTATTAATTGCTCTGCCAACAATTATATATGTATATATATACATCTTTATAAATATAAAAAAGTTTGATATTTACTTGAAATAGTAGTAGAACTCCCGCCAAAAAATTTCATTGTTACCGTTATTAGTAACTTTTTAAAATATTTTTAAAAACTGGCGGCTAATTATTTGAAATTTGAATTTAGAAAATCAATATAATTAATGTGGAGAATAATTAATCAAAGTAAATAGATATTTGCCAAATCGTGATTTTATATATTTGAAAATTTACAATATTATATAGAGCTAAGAGGATCAATATTTATGTAAACATTTGGATAGTCCACGATTGAATTACACGAATGACATCACTTTCCAAATGCCTATCATATTTGTTTGCATTGTTTGTTCCCATTTCCCTCTTTTTTTTTTTTTTGGTTTAATCCATATTTTATTTTGATTAATGGATTAATTATTTAATTAATTTTTACTTGGGTGTCAAACTTTGATTTCGAAAGTTTATTTTTTTAATTATTCAAATTTTAAAGATAACTTTGTTAAATCTCTTAGGTTTATATTGATTACTTTTCTCATTACGTAATTTTAGTTGAATAATTTCATGTTATTTTTGTAGTTTAAAAATTACAAAAGAACAATAGTTTAAAAATTGAGGAATAATAATTAACAGTATTTGAACTTTCAGAAAGTATTTTATAGATTTGATGAACTAACAAATTATAATTACTGCTAGCATTTATATTGTGAAAGGGATTAATCAATTAATAAACAAAAAAAGTTCATTTGTTTTTCTGTCACTCGAAACATGAGATATTCATTTTTTTCTTAAAAGAAATTCATTTATATTGTTATGGTATTTGATGACCATTATTATTTTTGGTCGGAAATGATAAAAACATAAAGCAAGGGTTGACACAAATAAGTTAATTTAAATATTATTTTTTTGTGCTATTAATATAAATGTGCACATTGTAGGAGTGTCAATTCAAAAATTGATTAAAAACTCTCATATATGACAAATATAAATGAATTATCAACAAATTAATATCTCATAAAGCATTTAAGATGATTTTCCAACCCATGACATATCTCGATATTTACAAGGTTGAATTCTTATATATTAAACTGCCGTGCATATTAAATATATATTAAGTAAATTTATTTTTAATAAATAACGTACTCAAAATTTTTTTTCCTATATTCTTTTGAATGTAGATTTGCAATAATTATGTTAATGATATGAAATATTTGCATACAACAATAGTGGGTGGTTTTATTTTGGTATGAAATGTCTAAATTTAAATGATATGAAATTTATTTGGTATGTATAAAATTGTACTTGGAAAATTTTAAAACAAAATAAGTGATATGAATTTTATTTGGGATAAGTACGATAGTCGAATTTTAGGTTGATTTGTTATAAAATCAAAGTGATATGATCATCAAATTTTAGCATATTATCATAATAACTTGAGATATTAATGGTAAGTCGACAAATTGGTATGTATTCCTCTTGAAAATCAGAAAGATCTTGGAACAAATATTGGTTAATAAAATATAAAATATATAATTTAACTAGTGTTGATACCCGTGCGATGCACGGGGTACATTATAAAAAATATTTTTTATTTAAATATTATAAAATTATTTAAGCCAATATGAAATTATTCTCCAAAATACTCTATCCAGTAATAATATGATATTTATTTATTTAATATTATTGTTATTATACATATATATTGTATATTTTGACAATTTAATATATAAAATTTATTATTTATAAGTTTATAAAATATTTTAAATGTATAAGATTATATGATATTTGCATACAAATTAATTGTATGTACATATAAAATTATCGTTTATCGTAGTCTTATAACTTTTTCAACAATTCATAATTTGCACATTGCGTGATAATTAACCAGCATTTAACCCATAATATTTACCTTTTGCTACAATTATTAAGTGCATTAGATGTTAAAAAGCGTTGATAGATAAACTTTTAATTTTTAGTAACTTTAATCCTTATGCAACATAAAAATTTTTAATGGTTAAATATTTTATTTTTGTGTTTTCATTTTTTATTTATATTTATTTTTTTAATTCATTTTTCATCTATATAATGAGTTAGAGAGTATCTATTCGAATATTTAGATATATTAGGTATTTCCATAATTACCAAGTGCAAAAATTTAAACTATTATACATTGCTATTTTATTAACTTATTTTTTTCGTTTATAAAATATATATAAGAAAAACATATATTAACTGAATAGTTTTTTAATGTACATAGATACTTTTAAGGTAAAATTTATAATTCTGAATTGCACCTGACCATCAAATTTTATTTTTATTAGTATATTAATTAAATTTTTCAATAGTATTATCACTGCATATGATATATTCAATGGGATGTACCTTCTTATAGTTAAATTGACTACATTTCAGAAAATTTTATTAATATTTTTAAATTTATTAAGTTAGTATGATTTAAACATAGTTATTTTGATTATTTTATTAAATATTTTAAGTACTTCTGAATAGTGAATATAATTAATTTAAATTAATATCTACAATTATATATGAAATATATTTAATCAAATTAATTTCCTTAATAATTTTTTGAATTGTGTCAATAAATTATTATTAAATTAATATAAGATCTTATTAAAAAAATATCTAATAAATTTACGGTCAAAATTCAATTTAAGTCAAGTTGTAGTTAATAAGTAATAGTTATTGAGTGCATAAAAATTAATTCTGTTTTTCTTGCATAATATTTATTAATAAATAAATATTAATTAAATGCCAAATATAGTCGAAAAACTTTCCCGCCCAAAATCATGCCAATTATGGCAATAATGATTCGTCCATTATATAGATATAGATTCTAGATAAGTAGTATATAAATTTGAACAATAAGGTAACTGGCAACAAGTTTAAAATATTGCGAGGTTACATGTGTGTGTGCGTGTGTATATATATAAGAAATTTATTGTGTAGTCCAAATTTGAGTTAAAAATTTAATAATCAAATAAATAATTATTCATAATTTACGAGTCAATATTAACTTAGACGTAAATGGAATAATCACTTATTCATAGTTTATTAAATTATTCAACTACTTAAACTTTTTGATTTTGGATAGCTTATACAAAAATTACTTCATTTCAATTAATGAAATAATATAAGTTTTATATTATATTTATTAATCACATATATTTTTAATTATATGATACAATTTTATCAAATTAATTATTTTATGGAGTCATATTGTAGTCAAATCGAATTTTTGAATGAAAACTTTAAAATAACAATTATTTTGAAATGAGTGTAATTTAATTTATTTTCAGTTAAGTGCACCGTACGAGTTGTGTGCTAATTTTAAATAGACATAGTTTACTGATTATGTATTTTTAATTTATAGATATTATTTAATAAATATTGTTAATATATGAATATTAATGAGTATCTATTACCCGTGCATCGCACGGGATTCGTACTAGTATATATATATATATAGCT